ACACAACCAAATCAAGACAACACAACCAAACAACACAACCAAATCAAGACAACACAACCAAATCAAGACACCACAACCAAATCAAGACAACACAACCAAAGACAACATAACTAAATCAAGACAACACAACCAAATCAAGGCACCACAACCAAATCAAGAGAACATAACCAAATCAAGACAACACAACCAAAGACAACACAACCAAATCAAGACAACATAACCAAATCAAGACAACACAACCAAAGACAACACAACCAAATCAAGACAACATAACCAAATCAAGACAACACAACCAAAGACAACACAACCAAATCAAGACAACACAACAAAATCCAACACAACCAAAGACAACACAACCAAATCAAGACAACATAACCAAATCAAGACAACACAACCAAAGACAACATAACCAAATTAAGACAACACAACAAAATCCAACACAACCAAATACAACACAACCAAATCAAGACAACACAACCAAATCCAACACAACCAAATACAACACAACCAAATCAAGACAACACAACCAAAGACAACACAAACAAATCAAGACAACATAACCAAATCAAGACAACACAACCAAAGACAACACAACCAAATCAAGACAACACAACCAAAGACAACACAACCAAATCAAGACAACACAACCAAATACAACACAACCAAAGACAACACAACCAAATCAAGACAACACAACCAAATCAAGGCACCACAACCAAAGACAACACAACCAAATCAAGACAACGTAACCTAATTATTATTGATGATGATAGTTTTTGTTTGATAACGACGACTTATAAGATGGTTTCTATACTGATTGAGCTTCCAAGAACTGCTGTCAATGTTGTGCTTTGCCTCTGTGCACTGCCTGTCAGCATTAGTGTCCGATCTGACTTAAAGCTGTTAATTTGCACATACTGACATCGTTTTCCTCCTCTCTAGATCCTCGCTTTTGTTTTACTTACTCTGTGATGTATGTTGCTTTGGATAAAAGTGTCTGCTATATAAATTGTAGAACTGTAGAAATGCATTCAACACAATCAAATACAGCAAAATAAAGGCAATCAACAAAAAGTAGACAATACTGACACAATAACCACATGCAGCCAATACATCAAAATGCAAGGAAAAGTCATTACCATCTACAGGCAATCCAGCCACAGACAATAGAACATAGCTAAATGTATTTTCAAACAAAAAAGTTGTGAGTTTGGTTATATGTTGTCATTTTTCTTAGAATAGATTATATGAATGGAGAATCCGAAGGGGACTATTATCTTTGGAGGCAGGGCAATGTTGATCAGACGCTAAATGCTCATCAGACTAAAGCCAGTGGGTGTACAAGTGATTTTGATGCCTGCGAAAGGTTTAACCATCTGCAATCTTTTCTATTGATGATCTAGTTATGGTGTCTTGATTTGGTTGTGGTGTCTTGATTTGGTTGTGGTGTCTTGATTTGGTTGTGGTGTCTTGATTTGGTTATGGTGTCTTGATTTAGTTATGGTGTCTTGATTTGGTTGTGGTGTCTTGATTTGGTTGTGGTGTCTTGATTTGGTTATGGTGTCTTGATTTAGTTATGGTGTCTTGATTTGGTTGTGGTGTCTTGATTTGGTTATGGTGTCTTGATTTGGTTGTGGTGTCTTGATTTGGTTATGGTGTCTTGATTTAGTTATGGTGTCTTGATTTGGTTGTGGTGTCTTGATTTGGTTGTGGTGTCTTGATTTGGTTATGGTGTCTTGATTTGGTTATGGTGTCTTGATTTGGTTGTGGTGTCTTGATTTAGTTATGGTGTCTTGATTTGGTTATGGTGTCTTGATTTGGTTGTGGTGTCTTGATTTGGTTATGGTGTCTTGATTTAGTTATGGTGTCTTGATTTGTTTGTGATGTTTGGTTGGTTGACTTTGTTGATGGTTATTTTCTGCAGCAATTGTTTTCTTAAAGCTCCTGTGAGGTAAGAGGTCAAACTTTGACCCCAGGGGATGCTTAAGTGTGAGACAAAGGTTTTTAGTTGCAAGATGTTAAGCTCTCAGGTTCGCAGTCAGTTTGTCTAAACGTGGAAATCGTCCTTTGTAATTAGCATTTAAAACTCAAATGTCATTATATATAATGAGGTAAAATAAGTGTATAAAGACGTTTTTTATAAACATGTCTGCATGATTGTTATCCTAATTTACCTTACACACATTTACGCCATCATAAGAATTGTTTTGTATCCCAGCTCCATTGGTTGCCTGATAAATCATTCAACAAAAATAACTATTGTAGCTTTTTTTTTTAACACTTTATCATACTTAGGGTATTATAAAAACTATCCCTTCATCCAGTGTATCCTCTGGAGTAACTAGGGTTCTTCTTAAAAGCAGGAGATATGGTGACGACACACCATCTTTATATGAATGAAATACATTAAAAACTACAACAGGCTGTATGGCCGATATACAAATAGACTATATGAAGTATGTTTAATTTCTAAGAACTCAAGGTTATATATATCAATACTGTTTTTTAGATCATTAATATTTCACAACTGATGTCAAGACAATGCTTTAATTTTTTAGAATGAAATAGAAACAATGTCATAGGTGACAATATTGTTGAAAGCAGCGGGTTGACTCTGAGTGTCATCATATAAATCATATACAAGATAGAAAATATGAGACAAAATGTATTAGAAATAACTATAAAATGTTTAATTATATATATATTACAGAATACAATTATATTGTGTCTTGTTGTTAAGTCTTAATCAATTGTTTGTGGCCACCTCCTCCTACATACACATTCATAGGGCCCCATTGTACCAGGTCGCCCTGAAATCCTGGCTGCACTAGTTTCCTGTTTGGGGCTGGTGACAGCATAGGGTCAAGTGAGAAGTCACATAACTTGCTTTTATGTTGAGATAACAGTCTAAAGAAGATACAAATGACATATTTTAATGTTTGGTGTCCTTACTTAAAAAATGACAGACTTTGATATACATACCTTTTGAATATTTGTTTCAATTTTCAATTTCCGCCTAAACTACATGTGTGTTTAAGTGTGAAAAATTCAAAAAATGAAAATAGTATTGATAAAAACTTTGCATAATTGTAACTAATAACTATCTGTGAACATCCTGTCCATATTTGGTGAAATTCTGATTCTGATTCCCAGAGATACGTGTGATAAGGCTAGAGCTGTCCCTTTTGGAGAAGCCCTAATTTGACCTGTTTTCGTTTTTTGGTAAGATGCATAAAACATCCAAAAAAAGTTATTTTGCAGTAAAATATTTTTATACAACAATCCGTTTCATAAACTAGACATGTTCAAGTTATGAAAAAATATGGTCGTGCTTTGTTCTACCTCGGGTAGGGGTCTCTCAACTTTTAGGGGCCCAAGTTCCTCTACTATAAGGGCCTGATTTAACTAAGCTCCCAAGTAAAGAGTACTAAATTGCGTGTTCACTCCAAAAGTTTGCACGTTTGGTTGGTGGGCGTTTTGCGGGTGATCTACTAAGATTTGCGCGAATGACATCAGGTGCAAACCTTGTGGAGGCGGTAATATTTAAGTTAGTTTTTTTGCGTGTTCTACTGGTTTACATCACGGAGCGTTTGGACAGAAAGCAGGATGACTGCAAGCGCAAAATAGGTATTAGTGGGAGAGGCAAATAAACGCACAATACTTTCGAGTTATAGCAGATAAATCTCAATATTATAAAGAATATTTTGGTTATAAGAAAACCTCGGCATTAAACAGGGCCTCTCTTTTCTTCCCTTCATCTTAAGAATGAAGTGTCATACATTGCGCAGGAGGTGTGAGCTGTGTCCTCTGTGGCACGGACGCTCTACACTCGCCGTTGTTGCGCACCGGACAGCTGGCCAGCGCTGTGTCTGATCGGATATAAATGCCCTGGAAAGAGGTATCGAAGACGGGGGTACAAACAGTGGTGAGGTCCCCCAATCCAAGCGTCCTACAGAGTGCTCAGCAGCGGGCTTTAGAGGAAGGAGACGAGCGCATTATGGAGAGGAGCGCACCGGAGGGGGCGAGCTGGGGGAGAGACGCGCGACCCGAGAAAAAGGAAATATAAAAAAAATATAATGTTGGCGAAAAGAGGGAAATAGGAAGACATAAATGTCAATGTTGAAATTCTATACAATGCAGAGGCTGTGAATGTTCAGTTTTGTTTGGCTATATGGCAACAATAGCCTGTAGTTTAATCAAGGTGTTCCTCTTCCTTAACGATTAGAATATTGAATCAAATTAAAAAATGAATGCATGCCATTTATTTTTCTGTCATTTGAAAGATGTAAACACTGTGATGTTGCGGCCTTCTTGACCTCTGAATTTCCATGCCAAAAATGCATTTTTGTCCTCCTCCTGGTCGTTTTTCTCATCCTCTGCCATTGTCGTTCGGTTGTGTGGAAAGTGCTCTCGCGCACTGACTTGCAGCGCACCTGCGCACATAATGCCACCTGCTTCTGCATCCGCACAGTGCAACCTGCGTGTAGTGCCGTAAAGTGATCCTACCGGCAATCCTTTGTTTGAGAAAGTAACTGTATTCAGAATACACCAATTTAAACTGTAACTAAAATGGAATACAATTACTCTTATTTTGTATTTTAAATACGTAACGCCGTTACATGTAATCCGTTACTTCCCAACCCTGCCGACACCACATGAATGCAGCATAAAGCATTCAATTATTTTACTTTCATTTCAGGTAAAGGAACATGGCCTCCGCTTTTCTGCTCTTAACGCTCGCTGTCCTCAACAGTGCAGGAAGTTCACAGAGTATTTAAGTTCCTCCGTCATATGGAGTTTGAAATATTTGATTCTTCTTGGTATTCATGTGATTCTTTCTTCACAGGCTTTGTGAAAATTCACTGCAAGACTCAAAACATCGGACAGTATGAGCAGGAGTCACGACTTGACTGTGTAATCCACTACTCAAAAGAGGTAGAAGATCCTGAAATCGTGGCGGTAATTTGGAGTAGAGAGGGGGTTGAAGAACTACTTAAATACAACCAAGGAAAACTTACATCGTTGCCTGGATATTCATTTGCTGAACCGTCCTGGAACAACAAGAACGTGAACGTATCCCTGCTCATTCACAAAACTGCTGTTAAGGACGAGGGAGTTTATACATGTTATGTGTTCACAAACAGTGGTTTTAACATCAACCAAACCAGACTGAACGTCACAGGTGAGCTCTAAGATAAAACTTTGTCTCAGCTTTTTGGCACACACACACACACACACACACACACACACACACACACACACACACACACACACATCATTTTGAGGGAATGATTAATCTCTGAAGCAGCCCCTGAGAGCTCATTTTTGTGTCTGTTTGTGTAAACATTTATAAGATTAAAGACAGAAGATGGACTGCAGGAAAGATGTAAAAGTGAGCTAGATGGAATGTAGATTGTGTGGAGAACGGGAGACTTTCCTTCCCCATCAGTCTGGTATTTACCTTCAACAGAGACTGTTCAATGTTTGCTCGGTGTCTTTGCTACTTTCTGTTTCTTTATGACATATAAGATGTCTGCTGTCATAAAGTACATTTGCTTATCACACATCAAATATCAGTGGTAAAATAATAGTGTGATGATTGATGTCGAGGGTTGAAGTTCAGATTAATAATCATGTTTCATCTCCATGTTCTCCTTCAAGCCAAATACGGAGTGCCAACTATTCAGCCTCAACCTCAGGACATTGATCTCGACACCAACGGTTCCCTGACATGCAAGTCCACCGGCTACCCAAAAGGCCGACTCAGCTGGTTTGATAAAGACAACAAGCCTTGGTTAGAGCAACCCGAGGTGGAGGTGCTGAAGACAGAGAATGGTCTGTTTATCCTCTCAAGCACGCTGAAAATACAGGGAGGATCTGCCTTCTCCAACTACACCTGCAAAGTGTTCAACGCCAGAGGAGACGAAGAGGCGGAGAAATCCTTCACAGTGCAGGACAAACCATCGGCCAGAGGTATCCGTTGTCGAGCACCACACATGATACTCGTTTCCTTCTTCACACAACAACCGGTACTTTTTGTCAGATTTCTTTTCGCTACAGTCACATGTTATGTCATGCAAAACATTTTTTTGAAGCAACACCGACGTCAATGCCGTTACGCAATCGTTACGGTCTTCTTTTAGGATCGCTCAACTAAGAGGAACTTGAACCCAGGGGGCCGTCATAGAGGGAGGAACGCCAGGATGATTTATCAGAAGTACAATTCAATTCAATTCAAAAAACTTTATTTGTCCCCGGGGGGCAATTCAAAGGCACACAGAGCAGTAAATTAACAACAGTGCAAGTAAACGAAACATTTTAACCTAAATAGAAAGTGTCAATTTAAATAAAACTTAAAGCTTAAACTTAACTTAAAAACACAAAATATAAAAAAGTAGATATAAGTGGACAGTGATCGGACTAACAGATGTAAACAGAACTATATGCAGTAAACGAGAAATAAATATATATATACAGAACTATGTGCAAGTAGGCAAATACTAAATGATAAGTTATTAAGGTACATGGTGAATAATGGAACAGGGTACGATATGGACATAGAATTGATCTGAGGAAATGATTGAGGCCTAGCAATCAAAATCTTGTAACTGAAGACATGAATGATGGTGACTTGTAGGTTCCCTTTTTTTTTAATTTATTCATTCAGGTAGCCGGCCCGGCCTTATCTCACCCGTCAGCACAAACACTGAACAGTCCAGACTTTGCTGTACTCACTAAAGCTGTTTTCACATATGCACTCCAGATGATATCTAGATAATTGCAGGAGGACCGCTCCGGAGATTCTCCCGACCTAGCCGTTCACCAGGCACCACGGGGTGGCCAATCAGATTTCAAGGGGGGGCCCACGCCAACCCTTTTTAGACACGCCCCTGTTTGTAGGCGGCTATAGATGTCGAAGATGGAAACTGTGTGAGTCCGATACAAACTCAAAACACAGAATCAGGCTGCCAGAAGCTGAATAAAGACGTTCCTGAAATACGACATATTTCTATAAATCAAGATGTTAAAGAAGGGTGAATATTCAGCGTTATCAAATCGGATTTGCAGGTGTTTGTTTGTTTCTAGAATATGAAGAACCTGGGTGAACCTTAGGGCTTATTTGGCAGCACCCTTGATTTGAACACTAACTGTTATTTTAATTATGAGAGCTGAGTCCAAAGAGCAAAATATCCCCAGGAGTGTTTTGATTATGCAGGGGAAAAGAAAATCTTGGCAGCTCAGACTGAACTTGTAAACATTAAACCACAAAGAGGCTGAAGCTTCCTTAAAAAAACAAGTCGGAGCAACTTTTCCTCCCACGTTGCTTCAGTTTTGTTTCCTTCCATCTTGTAAGACATCAATAAGTCTCCAAGTGTGACCCAGTACTTTCTCTAAACCATGGGGGGGTCAAGCTTCTTGATTTCATGAAAGTTTTGATCCATTGTTCATACTCTGTGACGGGAAAACTCATGAACTGGTTCGTTGATATCTGTGCAGTGACCTTAGCCGAGCTGTTACAAGTCCCCACATCTGCTGAATGCAGTAAACGGTCACTTATCATCAGCTGATTAATATCTGTTTTGCAGTTGACAGTCACGCGTTTGCAACACCAAAATCCCCTCCAGTCGTTGTCTTTACTTTCTACTTTGTCTGGGAGGGCAGATCATTAACTCAGACCCCCCCTCCCCCCTAGAGAGAAAGAGATAGTGGATGTTTGCAGCTAAAAGTATCACAGGGGGAATTTCCCACCACTGCATGACACGCCAACCTGGTTCCAAATATCTTCTTCTATGTTCTATCTTTATATCCATGTGAAGTATTACATCTGTAACTTTTTATTTTCTTCTATTTGATTTATTCAGGGCTGGGACAAGACTCAAACATGATTTTGGCCAAGATAGTGGCTCCTGTGTTGGTCGTCGGGTCTCTGATCGTGGGGTTCCTCGTGTTGCTACTTTACAAAAGACGATCTTGGCGTGAGTACCATTAAATATATATCTGTTTATTTAACATGGCAGTTTCAAAAACTGACCATTGAAAATGCATTCTTGTTTATTTAACATTTAGCCATCTTAACTTTAAATCTCTTGAAATCCAAAATGGTATTAATATATTGAAACCTATGTCATTTTGCACCAGAGGAGGATGTTGGATGCTGTCCTGCATCCTGGACTTTGCAAATGCATTGTTGTAAGATCTTAAAGGGGACATGCTGTATTATGAAAAATCCACTTCTACAGTGTTTTTGAACATATATTTGGGTATCCTGAGTGTCTACTGACCCACAAAATGTGAAATAAACCCATCCAGTCCTTTGTTTGTGGTCTGCATAAGTCTTACAACACAGAGAAAAATGCTCTGTTTCAAATGTGCTCTCCTTGTGATGTCACAGTGGGATTCTGGTAAAATATAAATAAAACCCTCCCCTGATATCTCCACACATGGACTCCACCCCCAGACTAAAACAAAACTTTAGCGCAGGTCGACCATTTTTATTCTCTCTACAGAGGTGTGATGTCTACGGGGAAAACTCAGGGGGGCTCATTACATTTAAAGAGACACACACACCAAAACAGAGCGTTCTGAGAGAGCTGGTTTATACAGGGTCACAAACCTCCTCTGGTGCTTGATTCATGTTATATTTTGACCAAAGCACAGCACAGATGTTTCATTTAGACCACAGGGGACTGTTTGAAAAGGTGGAGGGGGGGGGGGAGCTAATATGTCCTCTTTAAAGTATCATTATCAAGCACGAAACGGATCACTCACACTACTAGTCAAAGCGAACTGGCCTTTGTGGTCAAACGTGCTTACCTAGTGTGAGTGTGCCCTTTGTTTCCTGTCAGAGCCAAAAGGAAATAAATACTCCTGACAATGGATAACACGAGGACTTTTGAAGGTGTCAGACACTAATTTGTGTCCCGAGTTTGTCTACAAACCCCCCAATTAAGAGAAAAGTCAATCCACTTTTCAGAAAATGTGTGCTCAAACAGGCCGTTTGTAGATTTTCCCGTCATGACATCACAAAGGGCAGTAGCCCCTCCCCCAGGTGGGTGACACTCCCACAGCTAGGTGTTTGTTCTGCCCTCTCACCGTAAACAATAGGACATGGAGCAAGAAAGCCCGAGCCACCAAAGCCCTTCCAGAGAGGGGGCGTGGTCAAACACAGCTCATTTACATATTTAAAGGTACAGACACAGAAACAGCCTGTTCTGAGCAGGGCTGAAATCGAGGGGTTTATAGACATGATCAAATACAGGATCAGAGTGGATTTAGAACAAGAAACTTCACACACATGTTTTGATGAGCTCTGAGACTTATTGATTGAAGAGGAGGAGAATATGTGACCTTTAAAACCCGCCTCAGCTCCAGCTCTCAGCTTGATCAGAGTGGATTTAGAACAAGAACATCACAACTTTCACCGTAGTCTACCTTAATGTAGCTAGTAGGAGTGTAAACCCACACAAAGCAAAAACAGAAAGCTGTAGAGAAGCTGCACATTGTGGACTTGGCTGAACACAAGAGAAATCATTACGCAGGTAGACATTTTAAACCTCTTAAATCAGACTGTGTCTTTAATAGTTTGAGTTTTTTATTTTATTTAATTCAACGAGGCGATGTGGGGCCTCCTGGGCTACATCTTCTGAAACATCATGTAACCAAATAACTCACCACAAACAGGTTTCACATGTCATTCCGAGGCCTGTCCATGCGTGTCCTCCTGCCTTGTTTTCAACTGTCGATAACTTCTGTCACATAACAACTTACATGTACAACCATCGGTGTTCTAACTGGGCTCCAGGTGTTTGATGGGCTCCCTTTAATGTCTGATTTATGAGTTGTTCTGCGGTGTAGGGTGATGTCAATAAATTTACATGGTGTTGTTTTTACAGCCCATTGTCCTCCACCATAATTATATATTGGGTTTTTTTCCAGGTGACCATCAAGTCGTGATATACATGGAGGAAGATGAGTCTCGAGAACGTCTTTGTGTTTAAAGTCACGATTTAATCTTCATTCACACTCTAACATTTCATATGTTTTTCAGGATGGATGTTCAAGAAAGTCTGACTACAGGTAAATATAATTCAAACATTTGATTTGGATTGTCACTATTTAAACGTCAATATAATTCTAGTAAGAATTAGACGACATTAAAAAAAAAAGTTTCGATACCTAGTCCCAAGTGCACAATTTTGGTTGAATTTCCATTTTTTATTGCCAAAAATGTACAGGCAAACTCCTGCACATTGTCTGAAATTGCACATAATACATTGGCAGCAATGTGTTTGTGCAATTTAGACAGTCACCACTTCTGCTGTCTGTTTGTTAGACATAAAAAATCATCACATCTTCATGACACACGAGTGTGAATTTGAATGAGCCATTGCAGCTTTGTGTTCAAAATATTAGGGCTTCAACACTTGCCACCTGCCAGAGCCCATTTTTCTCCACAGCCGAGTGAGCTGATGTGAAAACGCAGCAGGATATAATCAGGAGAATTCAGCTCAAGCCAATAGGAGGGGGGGAGTGACGTTTATATACTGTGACTGCTGCACCGTGCATATAGATTTTCAGGCAGATGTGAAAACAGCTTGTGACTGAAGGTCTTTAGTTTTTATTAAAGCTTCAATACTTTCTGATACAATGCATCATTAAGGATTCTCAGATTGTCTTATTTTAAAACAAGTGGCATCAAAAACTGTTGCAAATTCAAACAACCAAACAAGGTAATAAGTTTATTACTAACCCTCCCTCTTCCTTTCTTTTTCTCTTCATCTCTCTGTGCAGGAGAAACCAAGACCACTCTTACTGACGACCACTGAACTCAACACTTCTTGTTTGCTTGAGCCCGCATCAGCATTTTAACTTTTCCTAATGCAAACATCCATGTACATAACCAGGTAAAGCTTGTATCACTGTGATTTAACAGAAACTGCAAGCGCTTTGTTCACCCTTAATCTACCAAGTAAACAAGCTCCAATCAAGTTTAAAATGTCAACAAAGACTGATATATCGCTGACAACAGGAGTTAAAGGGGTCCAGGTCAGGCTCTGTTGTCTTAAAGTAACCACATTGGGAACCGTTCCGACACCACGGAGTCTCTGGTGTTGATTTATGGAGGACAAAAGTGTATAATGTGATGATTTAGCCCACGCAATAACTGTAGCTTTTGGCAGCTTATCAGCCTCCTTCTCACTCCCTCTTCACATTCCATGTCTTTAGTGAAGGGTTAGAATCATGAAATACTTTTAATCCGTGTGTGTGTGTGTGTGTATTTTAAGGAAATGCAACTATTTCCTGCCAACGTTTCTTTTATTCATATATGTTGTACTAGGAGGGGTTAGAGGCATAAAAACAGGCGTGCCTGCTGTTGCCATGGTGCTTTCAGACACTCTCTGCCAGTCTGCGCGGGCGCAATCAGGAGAACAAAAAAGTTTGGGAATTTCATTCACTGTGTGAGAGCATGTAGTCATAAGACAAACATTTCAGTAATGCCAGACATCCATCAAACTGGTCAGAGGCAACAGAGCAGGCTGTGATAGGCCCTTTTGTGAGGTTTGGTTTATTTAACTTTTTTCACAACCGAGTTCTCAGAGAAACCGCCTCGCATGCCTTTAAAATCTTGAATTCTGATCGAGCCTGCATGTCAAGCTCGAGCCTGTCAGACCAAATATTCTCTACTGTACTGAAGACAAGCCAAAAGTGGAAAACAAAACTCCTTATCAACATCCATATATGTGAATGATTAACTGTTCTGTAACACACAGTTAATCATTGACCTGGTTGGAGAAAAAGCAGTTTATGAAGTTTATGAGTTTATGAAATCAACGACAAACGTCCTTACACTACTGTCAGTCATTCAGATTCTGTGTGTCGTGAACATTAGGTTTATATACATGTATGTGTTTGTAAAATGAACTGTATACTCTTTTAATTATTTTTTTATCGTGTTTTTTAGCACTAGCACCTTGTACAAACTGTGAATTGTGATTGTATGGTAATAAAACAAAGTCTAAATAAAAAAAACATAAAACAACCCTGTGATAAAGTTTCATGTTGTGTGTCATGAAGGATAGCTCTTGTTTAATGAAAATAAAAAATACATTCAGGCAAAAGTGGTGCAGCTGTCGATGTAGTTGTTGATGACGATGTATTAAAGGTCACACATTATCCAAAATACAATTAAACACTAATGTGTCTCTAGGCCGTCTACAAACCACCCCCCAGTTATGAGAAAAGTCCATCCTCTAAGTCTTTTGCCTGCTCCACTTTTCAGAAAATGTGTGCTCAAACAGGCCGTTTTGGAGATTTTCCCTTCATGACATCACAAAGGGCAGTAACCCCTCCCCCAGGTGGGTGCTTAAAGCTGTTTGTTTGCACTTACTGACGTCGTTTCGTCCCCTCTAGATCCTCACTTGTCTTGTTCTTACTCCCTGATGTTCGTCAGGGAGCCCCGTGTGAAAACATCTGCACACTCTCTGATATTCTACTTCGCACCGCTCCTCTCTCGGTTGGTGGCATGTTGTCTTGTTTTGGCCCGTTTCCATTTTCATCTTCTTCCCTTATATGTTCATCTGATGACAGAGCAGCTTATCGCCACACAAGATCTGATTTATTCACGACCATTTAAAGCATTCATCACACTTCCTCGTTCTCTTCACTTTCTTTAAAACCGACTCATAAGCGCACTAAAGCACCAAATGTTCATGTGATTGCAGCACTATTTGATCTCTCTGGTTATGGATGTCTCTTAAGCTGTTTTCACACAGGACAGCCTGCCAACTGAAATCCATCTGAGTTGCATTTTCAGTGAGTCCGACTCGATAATGCAGGATTTCCCAATCTTGGGGTACCACATGGAGTCCAAATGGGGTCCCCTGAAATTTCAAATTATTGACCAAAATAAAATATATAAATAATATGCCTTAATTAAGCTACAAGACGGTATCCAGTTCCTTGTAGCACATGCTAAAAACGATCCAGCATTGTAAAATACAAGCTCACCTGGATGTACACATCAGACACTGAGAAACATAAAATCCCCCTTTGTGCACCAATCTCACCCCGGCCTGTCTGCCCCGGTCTCAAGCAAAAAGCTCTATGTGTTTTGGATGTCTGTGGTCCCCAGAGCTTTGTGAAGTCAAACTGAGCTCACAATCCATTAAAGGTTGGGAACCACGGCATATAATGACAGATTCTGCCTTTATATTAATGCTGTGGTTAATTGGACGTATTCAAAGTATCAATAAACGAGTAGACAAGAACACACTGCCACAAATAAAGCAGCTTCATGATGTGCACATGGATCCTTGGTTGTCACTGGCCGGGTAATATGAATAAATGTGAGCTAAGATGAGCTGGGATCTTTTTAACTAAAAATTCCAAAAAATCATGATATGGCTGAATTTGTTTGTTTTTCATATCAGCATTAAATACCTTCCTCATTATATCATATCAGTATCACTTTCCTCCAGATCAAACTTCAATAAGTCAAGATTCAATTCCAGTAAATCATTATAGACTGGAATGCTGCCATCAACTGGACAAACAGCAACACAACAGGTTGATGATCATAACAGAGCTCACTATATGATGCTGTTTTTTAGTAGAGCATTTTTTTATTTACTATTTGTTTTAAACAGACAAAAGTCATTTCAATGGAAACCTGAGCTGTAGTTTCCACGTTTCAAGGACAATATGAGCATGTAAACAATAAGGTTCCTTTTCCAGTTTGCCATAATCCAAATAAATCACTTTGCTGTTGACTTAAATCATTCCCAAAATGGTCAACAGAATACCAAGTTTAAAATCTGCTCTAGATATCTCCTGCAGTTACTGTTTCAGTTTGGTTTGTTGGTTCTGCCTGCATCTAAATCCAGCCTGCAGAACAAGTGAGATAAGCTCCTGTTGTGGTGAACAGAGAAAGAAGAATGCTTCCATAAATAGAACTGATCCAGATCAGCTCTGTTGAAATAAAGTCCACTTTCTGACAAAGAGTACTGCCGTGCAGACAACACAAGTTTTCAAAGTATTACCCGTAGCATAAACAACATTCATGCATTTCTGTTGTTGTTGCTGCTACTCTGTTTGTCTCTGTCTGTCTTTTTCTTTCCATCTGTCTGTCTATCTCACTTTACAAGCCCAACACCATTGTGACAGATGGCCCCTCAACCAAGCAGAAACCTCTGGTGTCGAAAAATGTGGGAAAAAAAAGTGTCCACTAGAGGCTGGCTGCAGAAGCACCAGAAGTCACATACACACCCCATTTTAAAAACGCTACAGTATAAATAAACATGTTTTCAACCTGGTTTAAATAACTAAATAGGTCTGGTTAGCTCATGTCTCGATCGGCACACACTGTAAGAGGGGTGATTTTTTTTAACAACTCAGCTGTTTTGATTTTATGAAGGATAAGCGTTATTCAAAATAAGGAGCGTAGCTGAGCTAAATGACAAGCGGACACGGTGCAACGGTTTGTCAGGAGGCTTAAAATCCGCCTCAGCTCGTTAGGTTGAATGAAAGTTAGGCTGAGACGTGATTTCCAGCATGGAGACCGCCATCAGTGGGATTCCAGCGCCCCCTGCAGGAACAGATGGGTAAAATCACTCAGGCTTCGTATATTCATATTTACAGTGTACGAGTTCAACATGAGTCTGGTCCTTTTCGAGGTTTCTGTCTGTTTTCTTGCCACTATAACTTTGCTAAATGTTGCTTAGCGCTCCTACACGTTGCTTTGCAGGATGCACGCCGGAGCTGTTGAAGCCTTGCTCAAGGGCAGTACTCGGGTAGTGACCTGGCACCTCTCCAGCTTCCATATTTTGGTCTTCACCAGGACTTGAACCAGCGACCCTTCAGGTTCCCAAACCAAGTCTCCACAGACTGAGCTACTGCCGCCCCAAAGAGTTTTGGAGTGGCGGCTGCTGCGGGAGCCTCCCTCAGTAATTTTTTGACTTTTTTAAATTCTTTTTTGTGACTCATAAAAATCCCATCACTTTGACTTTAAGGTGTTTTATGTGCTTTATTGGGTCCATTTGTAGGTTGTTGTTGTTGGCCCCTTAGGTCTTAGTTGACACAGCAGACAGCCAGCAGCCTTCATCTGTCAATCAAAGCGACTACGCCCCAGATCATGTATAACTGGTAGCTTCGATTTTGAGTTTAACCACAATGCATCCTTCTTGTCATGAATAAAGAAAGCTTTGAAGACCAAAGCTCTTCTTTTGTTTTGTTGCTGTTTTGTGCCCCATGTGGCCACTTGAAGAAGTGCAGTTGTTTTGCACTTCCTGTTAGCTTCACTGTTAGCTTGTTAGGTTACTGCTTGATATGTTGTCATAATTGTTTCAAAGAAAACCTGTAAAGCATGTGCATGTTTTCATGAAGTGTTTTTTTGTAAAACATGAAGTGTGCAATGCACGAGCATTCACACTAATACAAATATTTATAAAATACATAGATGATATTTATGTGTCCTCATGAGGCACAAAGCTGGAATCAACAGGAGAGGAGTGAGAGCAGGTGAGGGCTAGAGTCTGTTGAAAGTATTTGAGGACACCTGGTGGACAGCTCGGGCATGGCAGGTTATGGGGAGGAGGAGGAAATTAATTAGGGGCCTAGGAGAAGGGAGCAGTCTGTTTTCAGAAAGGTGCTTGGAGCTCTGAAGAATATGCTTAAAATCACAGCAACGCTGTAATTCTATATCCTTTATTTTCCTCCTTTACAGTGGAAGCCTCAGAGCTTCAGTTCAGACGATTACCAGAAGAGGGCAGCATTGGAGGACAGCATACACTCTCTTGCAGGAAGTGCAGATGGATGGATAGCACTTGTGCAGAATCTTCAAAGACACTTCTGGACCCTTAATTGACACAAAATATGTGTCTATGTTTTACCATCATCACCTATCATATGTTTGTGTTTGCCTGAAAGCTGTGTGCTGATAAATAAATGCCATGAACCTGAGAGAAGTTGTCGCGTGATCTCTACTGTCTGCTGAGATAGAACCAGAAGAAGGGGGTTACAGTAGTGCAGTGACCAATTTTAACAAACCCAACATTGTTTAGAAAAGTCACTTGAGGGATGAATGTGGAAGCTTTCTGACGCGTGCTTAGCTCGAAGAAATGAACACAGTCCATTGATGATTTGATTTGGATATTTCAATCCATTTCTTTTTAAACACTTCTTATCAAATAAAGGAAAATATGACGAACCACTGTCTATAAATAAAACAAACAAATCCGCGTTGGATGCGTTTAACTCCGACAGGCTGACACGGTAAAAAAAACTGTTTGCCTCCATTCAATCACCTGTCCCACCTCACCTGGAGCCTTGCCTTAACCACAGCATCCGCCCAGGCTACACATAGTGCCCAGTAGAGGGCCAACACACACAAGCACAAGGAAAATAGCATCACACAAAACAAACACCTCATTTGGCTCCAACAAGTAGCATGAGTGCAAGATCATTTATTGTGATTGGTTGTACATTGTCGAAGGTCTATGATGCTCCAACCTTACCTGGCCAATTTTACCTGACTTCACCCTATATGATGAAACAGCACATCTTCTCCTTTTCAGATTACACTAAGCTGCTGTCGCCTTTTCTCCCTGCTCCTCTAGAAGTGGACTTTCTCCCGCAGAGCTCGAAAAAACTGCCAAATGCTTTATTGACTGCGGTCAAGCCAGCCGCTCCTCGAGTTTACATGGTGAAGTGAGCCGCCCCTAAATATGAAGTGCCCACGTATTCTGATCTTTATGGTAAATGCTCCGGACTGCAGAGCGAGCAGGAGGAACAGACAGAGAGAGCGAGTCTGTTATTAATCTCCTTTTCCAGGCAAAAGTGATAAATGCAGAAGTCTTACCATAAAACTGACTATGAGATACACGTGTATGAAACGGGAGCAAACAAAATACTGTTCAGGGAATAGCTCCGGAGGTCGGAGAAGTTAGTTTGGGAATAATACTGCGAGTCTGCGGTAACTTCCGTTTTTCAAAATAAGGTGTTTTCCTGGGAAAAAATATAAAAAAATATGTTCTTCCATAAGTACACCATGATTCTGATATGGTTGGACTTAGTACTTCTTAGACTACATGCACAGGTACTATGAAGTACTTTTACTCTGTGCTTTTTGAGAAATCCACTGTCAAGCTCCCTTACACAGCACAGCTCTCTGCAGTGTTTTGAATGTGACAGTACCAATTTGATTCGCTCTTTCAAAGCTACATGTTGCACTTTTAATATTTTGCAATAAACACACATACAAGCATTTTTCAAATATTAATAATCTTTCACGAATAAAAAATCGCTATTGACATTTTTTTACATTCATTATAAACATTAACATTTTCGTAGAACATACATGTGAAATTACAAAGACTCTGAACACCAACAACTACATCTATCTAACAGTTGGGATTGCAATAAAATCCAACTCCTTATAATGTAATTGTATTATCTACTCAACAGCTGAGCTCCTCTCTCTCATGAGAAGACTTAATTCTAATACCATTATTGAGCATATGCATTTATTTTTTAATTTGTGGGGGGAATGATGAAGAAGAGGTTGATTTTTGAAAGAGTACAATCTCTGGTAACACATGACAGCTTCTTTTTCTTGATTTTGTAAAAATCCTTGTAATTTCAAGCATTTCTTTTTTCCTCATGTGCCATAAACTTGCTTACTTTCTATATCTTTGAATTATTTAAAAATATTTTGATAAAGTATCAAGGGGTTGAGGCTGGACTGAATTTCATTGTGTAGTGATCTGCAATGACAATAAAGGATCCATCCATCTATAACTAACAAAGACCTTGGCCCTCCAAATCCTTCATGAATACTGAACGAGAGGTCTCGTCCTTAACTATTCGAAAATAAATTATTTTAGAATAGCAGAATTTAATGTGTTTGACTCTTTTGAGCATGTGTATTTTAAATGGTGTGATTTTTTTATGACATTGCTTATGTTTATGATACTCGAGCTGCATTGTTGTGTTAGTATGCTAATGGTAGTACACAGTAAAAGTACTTCATAGTACCTGTGCATGTAGTCTAAGAAGTACTAAGTCCAACCATATCAGAATCATGGTGTACTTATGTAAGAACATATATATAATTATTGTTTTCTTCAGGAAAACTGTTTTTTTTTTAAATTGTGAACACCTTATTTTTGAAAAACGGAAGTTACCGCAGACTCGCAGAATTATTCCCAAACTAACTTCTCCGACCTCCAGAGCTATTCCCTGAACAGTATTCTGTTTCCTCCCGTTTCATACACGTGTGTCTCATAGTCAGTTTAAGACTACACATTTAGCACTTGACGTCATCGCTCTCTCTGTCTGTTCCTCCTGCTCGCTCTGCAGTCCGGAGCATTTACCGTAAAGATCAGAATACGTGGGCACTTCAATTTAGGGGCGGCTCACTTCACCATGTAAACTCGAGGAGCGGCTGGCTTCACCGCAGTCTATATTGAATCCATTTAATGCTGCATTCAAGTGCTGCTCGGGTGGTCCAAGTTTCCGAGTTGGAAAGTCGTTCTTCCGACTTCAGTGTGTTCACTTTGATTTCAGTTTGGAAAGTTGTAACAACAGCAAAAAACAGCGTTGATGCTACGAAGAAGATCAGTGAAATGTAACTGTTAAAAGTGATATCTGAGCAAAAAGTGGATGTACAATACGTTAATTAGCTTAATAAAAAGTTTGTTAACATTAACAAAATCATATTTTGCCCCTCATGTGGTGACGATTCTGACGTCAAGTCGGACACCTAATTCTTTTCAGAATTTCCGAGTTGTTGTTCCAACTTGAGTTGGTGTTCATGTGCATTTTACCACTCGGAAACTCGTTTTTCCGATGTTTCCAACACCACATGAATGCAGCATAAAGCAGTCATTTATTTTACTTTCATTTCAGGTAAAGGAACATGGCCTCCGCTGGTTTTCTGCTCTTAACGCTCGCTGTCCTCAACAGCGCAAGTTCACAGAGTAAGTTTAAGTCCTCCGTCATATCGGAGTTTGAAATATTTGATTCTTCTTGGTATTCATGTGATTCTTTCTTCACAGCCTTTGTGAAAATTCACTGCAAGACTCAAAACATCGGACAGTATGAGCAGGAGTCACGACTTGACTGTGTAATCCACTACTCAAAAGAGGTAGAAGATCCTGAAATCTGGTGGTAACTTGGAGTAGAGAGGGGTTGAAGAACCGTACTTAAATACGAAAATGGAAAACTTACATCGTTGCCTGGATATTCATTTGCTGAACCGTCCTGGAACAACAAGAACGTGAACGTATCCCTGCTCATTCACAAAACTGCTGTTAAGGACGAGGGAGTTTATACATGTTATGTGTCCACAGACAGTGGTTTTAACAAGAACCAAACCAGACTGAACGTCACAGGTGAGCTCTAAGATAAAACTTTGCATCAGCTTCTTTGGCACACACACACACACACACACACACACACACACACACACACACAGATCATTTTGAGGGAATGATTAATCTCTGAAGCAGCCCCTGAGAGCTCATTTTTGTGTCTGTTTGTGTAAACATTTATAAGATTAAAGACAGAAGATGGACTGCAGGAAAGATGTAAAAGTGAGCTAGATGGAATGTAGATTGTGTGGAGAACGGGAGACTTTCCTTCCCCATCAGGCTGGTATTTACCTTCAACAGAGACTGTTCAATGTTTGCTCGGTGTCTTTGCTACTTTCTGTTTCTTTATGACAATAAGATGTCTGCTGTCATAAAGTACATTTGCTTATCACACATCAAATATCAGTGGTAAAATAATAGTGTGATGATTGATGTCGAGGGTTGAAGTTCAGATTAATAATCATGTTTCATCTCCATGTTCTCCTTCAAGCCAAATACGGAGTGCCAACTATTCAGCCTCAACCTCAGGACATTGATCTGAACACCGACGGTTCCCTGACATGCAAGTCCACCGGCTACCCAAAAGGCCGACTCAGCTGGTTTGATAAAGACAACAAGCCTTGGTTAGAGCAACCCGAGGTGGAGGTGCTGAAGACAGAGAATGGTCTGTTTATCCTCTCAAGCACGCTGAAAATACAGCGAGGATCTGCCTTCTCCCAGTACACCTGCAAAGTGTTCAACGCCAGAGGAGACGAAGAGGCAGAGAAATCTTTCACAGTGCAGGACAAACCACCATCGGCCAGAGGTATCCGTTGTCGAGCACCACACATGATACTCGTTTCCTTCTTCACACAACAACCGGTACTTTTTGTCAGATTTCTTTTAGCTACAGTCACATGTTATGTCATTCAAAACATTTTTTTGAAGCAACGCCCGACGTCAATGCCGTTACGCAATCAGGTCTTCTTTTAGGATTGCTCAACTAAGAGGAACTTGAACCCAGGGGGCCGTCATAGAGGGAGGAACGCCAGGAGGATTTATCAGAAGTACGATATGGACATAGAATTGATCTGAGGAAATGATTGAGGCCTAGCAATCAAAATCTTGTAACTGAAGACATGAATGATGGTGACTTGTAGGTTCCCTTTTTTTGATTTATTCATTCAGGTAGCCGGCCCGGCCTTATCTCACCCGTCAGCACAAACACTGAACAGTCCGGACTTTGCTGTACTCACTAAAGCTGTTTTCACATATGCACTCCGGATAATATCTAGATAATTGCAGGAGGACCGCTCCGGAGATTCTCCCGACCTAGCCGTTCACCAGGCACCACGGGGTGGCCAATCAGATTTCAAGGGGGGGCCCACGCCAACCCTTTTTAGACACGCCCCTGTTTGTAGGCGGCTATAGATGTCGAAGATGGAAACTGTGTGAGTCCGATACAAACTCAAAACACAGAATCAGGCTGCCAGAAGCTGAATAAAGACGTTCCTGAAATACGACATATTTCTATAAATCAAGATGTTAAAGAAGGGTGAATATTCAGCGTTATCAAATCGGATTTGCAGGTGTTTGTTTGTTTCTAGAATATGAAGAACCTGGGTGAACCTTAGGGCTTATTTGGCAGCACCCTTGATTTGAACACTAACTGTTATTTTAACCATGAGAGCTGAGTCCAAAGAGCAAAATATCCCCAGGAGTGTTTTGATTATGCAGGGGAAAAGAAAATCTTGGCAGCTCAGACTGAACTTGTAAACATTAAACCACAACAAGGCTGAAGCTTCCTTAAAAAAACAAGTCGGAGCAACTTTCCTCCCACGTTGCTTCAGTTTTGTTTCCTTCCATCTTGTAAGACATCAATAAGTCTCCAAGTGTGACCCAGTACTTTCTCTAAACCATGTGGGGGTCAAGCTTCTTGATTTCATGAAAGTTTTGATCCATTGTTCATACTCTTTGACGGGAAAACTCATGAACTGGTTTGTTGATATCTGTGCAGTGACCTTAGCCGAGCTGTTACAAGTCCCCACATCTGCTGAATGCAGTAAACGGTCACTTATCATCAGCTGATTAATATCTGTTTTAGAGAAAGTGAATGTTTGCAGCTAAAAGTATCACAGGGGGAATTTCCCACCACTCCAAATATCTTCTTCTATGTTCTATCTTTATATCCATGTGAAGTATTACATCTGTAACTTTTTATTTTCTTCTATTTGATTTATTCAGGGCTGGAACAAGGCGCCAAAGACACCAAAGACTCAAACAGGATTTTGGCCACCAAGATAGTGGCTCCTGTGTTGGTCGTCGGGTCTCTGATCGTGGGGTTGCTACTGTTGCTACTTTACAATAGACGATCTCAGCGTGAGTACCATTAAATATATATCTGTATATTTAACATGGCAGTTTCAAAAACTGACCATTGAAAATGCATTCTTGTTTATTTAACATTTAGCCATCTTAACTTTAAATCTCTTGAAATTCAAAATGGTATTAATATATTGAAACCTATGTCATTTTGCACCAGAGGAGGATGTTGGATGCTGTCCTGCATCCTGGACTTTGCAAATGCATTGTTGTAAGACCTTAAAGGGGACATACTGTGTTATGAAAAGTCCACTTGTACAGTGTTTTTGAACATATATTTGGGTATCCTGAGTGTCTACTGACCCACAAAATGTGAAATAAACCCATCCAGTCCTTTGTTTGTGGTCTGCATAAGTCTTACAACACAGAGAAAAATGCTCTGTTTCAAATGTGCTCTCCTTGTGATGTCACAGTGGGATTCTGGTAAAAAAATAAATAAAACCCTCCCCTAATATCTCCACACATGGACTCCACCCCCAGACTAAAACAAAACTTTAGCACAGGTTGGCCATTTTTATTCTCTCGACAGAGGTGTGATGTCTACGGGGAAAACTCAGCGGGGGCTCATTACATTTAAAGAGACACACACACCAAAACGGAGCGTTCTGAGAGAGCTGGTTTATACAGGGTCACAAACCTCCTCTGGTGCTTGATTCATGTTATATTTTGACCAAAGCACAGCACAGATGTTTCATTTGGACCACAGGGGACTGTTTGAAAAGGTGGAGGGGGGGGATAATATGACCTCTTTAAAGTACCAGTATCATGCACGAAACGGATCAATCACACTACTAGTCAAAGCGAACTGGCCTTTGTGGTCAAACGTGCTTGCCTAGTGTGAGTGTGCCCTTTGTTTCCTGTCAGAGCCAAAAGGAAATAAATACTCCTGACAATGGTTAACACGGGGACTTTTAAAGGTGGACAAACCTGATCAGCACTTGGCATGCAGCCACGTTATGCACGCTGGGAAAGTACGCTCTCCTTTGTTGTCGGGTTGGGTTCATTAGTGTATTTACTATAAATGTGACGTTTGTTTTTAACAGTAGAGTGAGGACATGAGCTTTGTTTTAAAAAAAACGGCGGTCAACTGAAGTAGATGTTTGCAGTGAGGGAGCGTTCACTTTTATTTTTCCTTCTGTGTTCCATTTCTTGATGCACAAAATGGATCACTCACACTTCTAGTCAAAGCGAACTGGCCTTTGTGGTCAAACGTGCTTGCCTAGTGTGAGTGTGCCCTTAGTTTCCTGTCAGAGCCAAAAGGAAATAAATACTCCTGACAATGGATAACACGAGAACTTTTGAAGGTGTCAGACACTAATTTGTGTCCCGAGATTGTCTACAAACCCCCCAATTAAGAGAAAAGTCAATCCACTTTTCAGAAAATGTGTGCTCAAACAGGCCGTTTGTAGATTTTCCCGTCATGACATCACAAAGGGCAGTAGCCCCTCCCCCAGGTGGGTGACACTCCCACAGCTAGGTGTTTGTTCTGCCCTCTGAGTCTGCCTTCTCACCACAAACAATAGGACATGGAGCGAGAAAGCCCGAGCCACCCAAGCCCTTCCAGAGAGGGGGCGTGGTCAAACACAGCTCATTTACATATTTAAAGGTACATACACAGAAACAGCCTGTTCTGAGCAGGGCTGAAATAGAGGGGTTTATAGGCATGATCAAATACAGGATCAGAGTGGATTTAGAACATGAAACTTCACAGACATGTTTTGAGGAGCTCTGAGACTTATTTAAACTGGTTGAAGAGGAGGAGGATATGTCACCTTTAAAACCCGCCTCAGCTCCAGCTCTCAGTTTGATCAGAGTGGACTTAGAACAAGAACATCACAACTTTCACCGTCGTCTTCCTTAGTGTAGCTAGTAGGAGTGTAAACCCACACAAAGCAAAAACAGAAAGCTGTAGAGAAGCTGCACGTTGTGGACTTGGCTGAACACAAGAGAAATCATTACGCAGGTAGACATTTTAAACCTCTTAAATCAGACTGTGTCTTTAATACCAGTGTGACTTATATTCCTGATTGCACAGTACTTTAAACACGTTCCACATAGCCCTACTGCCAGGCTTCCATTTCACCGTCATGGGCGGATGCAAACTGCACCTTGACCTGTTTGAAGAGTCTAACAACCTGAGGCAGTTTGAGTTTGAGGTTTTTTTTAATTTAATTCAACGAGGCGATGTGGGGCCTCCTGGGCTACATCTTTTGAAACATCATGTAACCAAATAACTCACCACAAACAGGTTTCACATGTCATTCCGAGGCCTGTCCATGCATGTCCTCCTGCCGTGTTTTCAACTGTTGATAACTTCTGTCACATAACAACTTACATGTACAACCATCGGTGTTCTAACTGGGCTCCAGGTGTTTGATGGGCTCCCTTTAATGTCTGATTTATGAGTTGTTCCGCAGTGTAGGGTGATGTCAATAAATTTACATGGTGTTGTTTTTACAGCCCATTTTCCTCCTCCATAATTATATATTGGTTTTTTTTCCAGGTGACCATCAAGTCATGATATACATGGAGGAAGGTGAGTCTCGAGAATGTCTTTGTGTTTAAAGTCACGATTTAATCTTCATTCACACTCTGACATTTCATCTGTTTTTCAGGAGATGATCAGGAAACGGAGGGAGATGTTCAAGAAAGTCTGACTACAGGTAAATATAATTCAAACATTTGAGTTGGATTGTCACTATTTAAACGTCAATATAATTCTAGTAAGAATTAGACGACATTAAAAAAAAACAGTTTCGATACCTAGTCCCAAGTGCACAATTATGGTTGAATTTCCATTTTTTATTGCCAAAAATGTACAGGCAAACTCCTGCACATTGTCTGAAATTGCACATAATACATTGGCAGCAATGTGTTTGTGCAATTTAGACAGTCACCACTTCTGCTGCCTGTTTGTTAGACATAAAAAACCATCACATCTTCATGACACACGAGTGTGAATTTGAATGAGCCATTGCAGCTTTGTGTTCAAAATATTAGGGCTTCAACACTTGCCACCTGCCAGAGCCCATTTTTCTCCACAGCCGAGTGAGCTGATGTGAAAACGCAGCAGGATATAATCAGGAGAATTCAGCTCAAGCCAATAGGAGGGGGGGAGTGACGTTTATATACTGTGACTGCTGCACCGTGCATATAGATTTTCAGGCAGATGTGAAAACAGCTTGTGACTGAAGGTCTTTAGTTTTTATTAAAGCTTCAATACTTTCTGATACAATGCATCATTAAGGATTCTCAGATTGTCTTATTTTAAAACAAGTGGCATCCAAAAACTGTTGCAAATTCAAACAACCAAACAAGGTAATAAGTTTGTTACTAACCCTCCCTCTTCCTTTCTTTTTCTCTTCCTCTCTCTGTGCAGGAGAAACCAAGACCACTCTCACAGACGACCACTGAACTCAACACTTCTTGTTTGCTTGAGCCTGCGTCAGCATTTTAACTTTTCCTAATGCAAACATCCATGTACATAACCAGGTAAAGCTTGTATCACTGTGATTTAACAGAAACTGTAAGCGCTTTGTTCACCTTTAATCTACCAAGTAAACAAGCTCCAATCAAGTTTAAAATGTCAACAAAGACTCATATATCGCTGACAACAGGAGTAAAAGGGGTCCAGGTCAGGCTCTGTTGTCTTAAAGTAACCACATTGGGAACCGTTCCGACACCACGGAGTCTCTGATGTTGATTTATGGAGGACAAACGTGTATAATGTGATGATTTAGCCCACGCAGTAACTGTAGCTTTTGGCAGCTTATCAGCCTCCTTCTTACTCCCTCTTCACATTCCATGTCTTTAGTGAAGGGTTAGTTAGCCTGTCTTTCCCCACTCTCTCTCCATCTCCCTCCCTGATTTCTGACTGTCCTCTCTGTAAATAATAAAACCCCCAAAGCAGACTGAGTCTCCTCTTCAGCCATCACTGAATCAAAGACTGTGTGGGGATTCACCTGAGCATCAACTTTCAAAAGTCCAGAGCGGACAAAATAAAGGTTGAAGAGGGGGGGCAGCTGCTTGAGCAACAATAAAAGTCTATGGAGCAGAAAGGGAGGAATATGCAGCTTTAAATGCAGCGTTTTACTTTTTTACTTTTACTTTACTTTTTTTTGTTTTTCATCTTATCATAGGATTTGCAGAAAAATGGATTAAATACAGAATAAGTTTATCCTGCCAAGATGCTCGTTAGGAACATTTTTTATGATTTAAGTGCTCTGTACTGTGGTATGAATGTTGTGCAAGGATGTCAGCTCACACTGTAAGTGCTCACACTCAACGGTCTGATTATAAATCACCACCTGTGTGCTCACACTGTGTCTCATATGCACGGCTCAAACACAAAACGCTGTGTTCCCCGGCAGCTGGAGGTCGGCAGCTATTTCCTGCCAACGTTTCTTTTATTCATATATGTTGTGCCAGGAGGGGTTAGAGGCATAAAAACAGGCGTGCCTGCTGTTGCCATGGTGCTTTCAGACACTCTCTGCCAGTCTGCGCAGGCGCAATCAGGAGAACAAAAAAGTTTGGGAATTTCATTCACTGTGTTAGAGTATGTAGTCATAAGACAAACATTTCAGGAATGCCAGACATCCATCAAACTGGTCGGAGGCAACAGAGCAGGCTGTGATAGGCCCTTTTGTGAGGTTTGGTTTATTTAACTTTTTTCACAACCGAGTTCTCAGAGAAACCGCCTCGCATGCCTTTAAAATCTTGAATTCTGATCGAGCCTGCATGTCAAGCTCGAGCCTGTCAAACCAAATATTCTCTACTGTACTGAAGACAAGCCAAAAGTGGAAAACAAAACTCCTTATCAACATCCATATATGTGAATGATTAACTGTTCTGTAACACACAGTTAATCATTGACCTGGTTGGAGAAAAAGCAGTGCCACAATAAATGTAACATAGATGAGTTTATGAAATCAACGACAAACGTCCTTACACTACTGTCAGTCATTCAGATTCTGTGTGTCGTGAAAATTAGGTTTATATACATGTATGTGTTTGTAAAATGAACTGTATACTCTTAATTATTTCTTTATCGTGTTTTTTAGCACTAGCACCTTGTACAAACTGAATTATGATTGTATGGTAATAAAACAAAGTCTAAATAAAAAAAACATGAAACAACCCTGTGATAAAGTTTCATGTTGTGTGTCATGAAGGATAGCTCTTGTTTAATGAAAATAAAAAATACATTCAGGCAGAAGTGGTGCAGCTGTTGATGTAGTTGTTGATGACGATGTATTAAAGGTCACACATTATCCAAAATACAATTAAACACTAATGTGTCTCTAGGCCGTCTACAAACCACCCCCCAGTTATGAGAAAAGTCCATCCTCTAAGTCTTTTGCCTGCTCCACTTTTAAGAAAATGTGTGCTCAAACAGGCCGTTTGGAGATTTTCCCTTCATGACATCACAAAGGGCAGTAACCCCTCCCCCAGGTGGGTGCTTAAAGCTGTTTGTTTGCACTTACTGACGTCGTTTCCTCCCCTCTAGATCCTCACTTGTCTTGTTCTTACTCCCTGATGTTCGTCAGGGAGCCCCGTGTGAAAACATCTGCACACTCTCTGATATTCTACTTCGCACCGCTCCTCTCTCGGTTGGTGGCATGTTTTTAAATATGTTGTCTTGTTTTGGCCCATTTCCATTTTCATCTTCTTCCCTTATATGTTCATCTGATGACAGAGCAACTTATCGCCACACAAGATCTGATTTATTCACGACCATTTAAAGCATTCATCACACTTCCTCGTTCTCTTCACTTTCTTTAAAACCGACTCGTAAGCGCACTAAAGCACCAAATGTTCATGTGATTGCAGCACTATTTGCTCTCTCTGGTTATGGATGTCTCTTAAGCTGTTTTCACACAGGACAGCCTGCCAACTGAAATCCATCTGAGTTGAATATTCAGTGAGTCCGACTCGATAATGCAGGATTTCCCAACCTTGGGGTACCGCATGGAGTCCAAATGGGGTCCCCTGAAATTTTAAATTATTGACCAAAATAAAATATATAAATAATATGCCTTAATTAAGCTACAAGACGGTATCCAGTTCCTTGTAGCACATGCTAAAAACGATCACACTTGCAGTATCTCGGTGTGTCTCATTAATGCGTGATGCGCCCAGCATCAAGCAAAAAGCTCTATGTGTTTTGGATGTCTGTGGTCCCCAGAGCTTTGTGAAGTCAAACTGAACTCACAATCCATTAAAGGTTGGGAACCACAGCATATAATGACAGATTCTGCCTTTATATTAATGCTGTGGTTAATTGGACGTATTCAAAGTATCAATAAACGAGTAGACAAGAACACACTGCCACAAATAAAGCAGCTTCATGATGTGCACATGGATCCTTGGTTGTCACTGGCCGGGTAATATGAATAAATGTGAGCTAAGATGAGCTGGGATCTTTTTAACTAAAAATTCAAAAAAAATTTGTTTGTTTTTCATATCAGCATTAAATACCTTCCTCATCATATCATATCAGTATCACTTTCCTCCAGATCAAACTTCAATAAGTCAAGATTCAATTCCAGTAAATCATTATAGACTGGAATGCTGCCATCAACTGGACAAACAGCAACACAACAGGTTGATGATCATAACAGAGCTCACTATATGATGCTGTTTTTTAGTAGAGCATTTTTTTATTTACCATTTGTTTTAAACAGACAAAAGTCATTTCAATGGAAACCTGAGCTGTAGTTTCCACATTTCAAGGACAATATGAGCATGTAGTATTACCCGTAGCATAAACAACATTCATTCATTTCTGTTGTTGTTGCTGCTGCTCTGTTTGTCTCTGTCTGTCTTTTTCTTTACATCTGTCTGTCTATCTCACTTTACAAGCCCAACACCATTGTGATAGATGGCCCCTCAACCAAGCAGAAACCTCTGGTGTCAAAAAATGAAGTCGATGCAGAAATGCAAAATCCTGCAGTTCCTCAAGTGTCCACTAGAGGCTGGCTGCAGAAGCACCAGAAGTCACATACACACCCTATTTTAAAAATGCTACAGTATAAATAAACATGTTTTCAACCTGGTTTAAATAACTAAATAGGTCTGGTTAGCTCATGTCTCGATCGGCACACACTGTAAGAGGGGTGATTTTTTTAACAACTCAGCTGTTTTGATTTTATGAAGGATAAGCGTTATTCAAAATAAGGAGCGTAGCTGAGCTAAATGACAAGCGGACACGGTGTAACAGTTTGTCAGGAGGCTTAAAATCCGCCTCAGCTCGTTAGGTTGAATGAAAATTAGGCTGAGACGTGATTTCCAGCATGGAGACCGCCATCGATGGGACTCCAGCGCCCCCTGCAGGAACAGATGGGTGACATCACTCAGGCTTCGTATATTCATATTTACAGTGTATGAGTTCAACGAAGTGCAGATGGATGGATAGCACTTGTGCAGAATCTTCAAAGACACTTCTGGACAATTAATTGACACAAAATATTTCCTTGGTAATAACAAAGTGTTTTTCCAGTCAATGCCAGTGTACAGATTATTCCAAACACAGGTTTACTACAGGTGTCCCTCTGAACTATTTCTCTTATACATTAGTTATTAGTTTTAACACTTAGAAAAGGATCCGAATTCCCTATGAACAATTCCTCAAAAGTATTATGATGCCACATCATCGTTCACATTTAAGTTGACAGAAGGATTTTTAAACCGGACGAGGAAGCATCAAATACAATTGCATATTCCCATAGGGAGCACAGGAAGTTTAAAAATGGAAAGAAACTCTTAATAGGTGAACAACTGACCCTCCCTGTTGAACAATTGAAATAAAATTTCTCTGACGTACTTCATGTAACACTCTGCCTCGCCCAAATGAGCAACCTTTGACCAATCAAAACTGTTGTTACATGTGAAATAGTGTTGTAGGATTATTGTAGATTGTGAAGTTTGTCAAAATGACTTGCTGTTTTCAATCAGTGTTACTTTAATTTTCTGTAACGTTATCCTGTGATCTTATTCCTCTGAGATATAGATTTAATAGACAGTTCTATCTTTTATCTCTAGCTATGCAAGGCTCCTTTTATTAATCTGACAACAGCGCCCTCGTGTGGCGGTGGTGGTAATTATAGAGATCTGGAATTGTCAGCTCGTCCCCTTTGCTGGCTGACTTCATCAATAACGGTACGTACTGAAAACAGCTCCGTGACAGGTTGTAAATATTAAGCCATAAAAGTAACTTTAACCAAATCAAAAGGCCTACAAAGTGACATAAGTAGTCTTGTCATGTTTTATGGCTGTTGCTGGGTTGTCATTTGTGTTTAATATTTTTCTGCTGAGTTAAGTTTACTTGCTAAGTGTGCTAGTTTATGTAATTTGGGGTGTCCAAAGTGCGGCCCGCGGGCCATTTGCGGGCCTTAAAGGGATTTTTTGCGGCCTGCAACGTCAATCGAAGAATCAGAACAGATTTTGGCCCGATGCCTCATTCAGATTGTCATATTATGTTTTTTTCTTTTTCATATTAGCAAGGGCTGAAAAATATTCCTAAAATAGAAAATGTTCTGTACAATGTGTTGTGTTGTTGTGTATGTTTTTCATTTTTTTTCGACTGCTTTTACTATTTTCCACATTTTTTGTCAACTATGAAAATAAACCTATGAACAATTTTTGCAAACAAGCGGACTGTTGTTTCACCATTCAATAACCTGAGCTTAATACAAAAAGCTTTTACAAAAAATGAACCACATTTTTTGTTAACAGGCTTGATTCTGATCTAATAAAGTAGACCGAAGAAATCTAAGTATTTGATTCCCTTTTAATAAAGGCTTTCTTTTGCTAACCTTTTGATTGTGATCTACAAAGCCTTACTATTTTTTCAAAATAATGAGAACACAATAGACAACACAACCATATTTTGCCCCTCATGTGGTGACGATTCTGACGTCAAGTCGGGCACCTAATTCTTTTCAGAGTTTCCGAGTTGTTGTTCCAACTTGAGTTGGTGTTCATGTGCATTTTACCACTCGGAAACTCGTTTTCCCGATGTTTCCAACACCACATGAATGCACCATAAAGCATTCAATTATTTTACTTTAATTTCAGGTAAAGGAACATGGCCTCCGCTGGTTTTCTGCTCTTAACGCTCGCTGTCCTCATCAGTGAAGGAAGTTCACAGGGTTATGGTAAGATCCTCCGTCGTATCGGAGTTTAAAATATTTGATTCTTCTTGGTATTTATGTGATTCTTTCTTCACAGCCTTTGTGGAAATTCACTGCAAGACTCAAAACATCGGACAGTATGAGCAGGAGTCACGACTTGACTGTGTAATCCACTACTCTGAAAGAGACGTAGTAGACGTAGAAGATCCTGAAATCATGGTGGTAATTTGGAGGAAAGAGGAGGTTGAAGAACCCATACTTAAATACAACCATGGAAAACTAACATCGTTGCCTGGATATTCATTTGCTGAACCGTCCTGGAACAACAAGAACGTGAACGTATCCCTGCTCATTCACAAAACTGCTGTTAAGGACGAGGGAGTTTATACATGTTTTGTGTTCACAAACAGTGGTTTTAACAGCAACCAAACCAGACTGAACGTCACAGGTGAGCTCTAAGCTAAAACTTTGCATCAGCTTCTTTGGCACACACACACACACACACACACACACACACACACACACACACACACCATTTTGAGGGAATGATTAATCTCTGAAGCAGCCCCTGAGAGCTCATTTTTCTGTCTGTTTGTGTAAATATTTATAAGATTAAAGACAGAAGATGGACTGCAGGAAAGATGTAAAAGTGAGCTAGATTTCTTCCCCATCAGGCTGGTATTTACCTTCAACAGAGACTGTTCAATGTTTGCTCGGTGTCTTTGCTACTTTCTGTTTCTTTATGACAAATAAGATGTCTGCTTTCATTAAGTACATTTGCTTATCACACATCAAATATCAGTGGTAAAATAATAGTGTGATGATTGATGTCAAGGGTTGAAGTTCAGATTAATAATCATGTTTCATCTCCATGTTCTCCTTCAAGCCAAATACGGAGTGCCAACTATTCAGCCTCAACCTCAGGACATTGATCTCGACACCGACGGTTCCCTGACATGCAAGTCCACCGGCTACCCAAAAGGCCGACTCAGCTGGTTTGATAAAGACATCAAGCCTTGGTTAGACCAACCCGAGGTGAAGGTGCTGAAGACAGAGAATGGTCTGTTTCTCCTCTCAAGCACGCTGAAAATACAGGGAGGATCCGCCTTCTCCCAGTACACCTGCAAAGTGTTCAACGCCAGAGGAGACGAAGAGGTGGAGAAATCTTTCAACAGTGCAGGAAGTTCACAGAGTGAAGGTAAGATCCTCCGTCATATCAGAGTTTGAAATATTTGATTCTTCTTGGTATTCATGTGATTCTTTCTTCACAGCCTTTGTGAAAATTCACTGCAAGACTCAAAACATCGGACAGTATGAGCAGGAGTCACGACTTGACTGTGTAATCCACTACCTTGAAGAGGTAGAAGATCCTGAAATCTTGGTGGTAATTTGGAGTAGAGAGGGGGTTGAAGAACCCATACTTAAATATGAAAATGGAAAACTAACATCGTTGCCTGGATATTTATTTGCTGAACCGTCCTGGAACAACAAGAACGTGAACGTATCCCTGCTCATTCACAAAACTGCTGTTAAGGACGAGGGAGTTTATACATGTTATGTGTTCACAAACAGTGGTTATAACACCAACCACACCAGACTGAACGTCACAGGTGAGCTCTAAGATAAAAGTTTGTCTCAGCTTTTTGGCACACACACACACACACACACACACACACACACACACACACACACACACACACACACACACACACACACACATATGGATCATTTTGAGGGAATAATTAATCTCTGAAGCAGCCCCAGACAGCCCATTTTTTAAGTCCTGTGTTGGGCTCTGGTTTCATGTGTCGAGTAATCTCCATCTGATTCCTGCTGTGAAATGTGGCATGTATAAACAAAGAGACTGGTTTATGTCTGTCTTTTGTTGTGTTTATGTAGCTTTTTTGCGACCGAGTGCAACTTCTCCACATCAGCTGTTATCTTCTCAATCTCAGATATTTGTTTTCCTTCTTCTTTTTCATCGGTCGTCTCTCAGAGAAACTGGCTCACATGCCTTTAAAATCTTGAATTCTGATCAAGCCCGTCAGACCAAATATTCTCTGCTGCATATGTGAATGATTAACTGTTCTCTAACACAGATTTAACCATTGACCTGGTTGGATAAAAAACAGTGCGATGAGTTCATGAAAAGGTAAACACGACAAACGTCTTTAAACTTCTCTCAGTAGATGAGCTTCAAATCAGTGTGTGCAAAAATACTGAACTTTATACTCTTTTTTAAAATGATTTTTAAATTGGTTTGTTTTTTTAGCACTAGCACCTATTGTACCAACTGTGAATTGTGATGGTATTGTCTGTAATAAAACAAAATCTAAATAAGAAAATTGTTTTTTTGTTGCTGTTTTGTGCCCCATGTGGTCACTTGAAAAAGTGCAGATGTTTTAAACTTCCTGTTGGCTTCACATTGCAGTCCTGGAGGTTACTGCTTGATATGTTGTCATAATTGTTTCAACCTGTAAAACCTGTAAAGCATGTGCATGTTTAGATGTCGTGCTTTTCTGTAAAACATGAAGTGTGCAATGATCGATCATTCACACTAAATTAGAAATATTTATAAACTACATAGATGATATTTATGTGTCCTTATGAGGCACAAAGCTGGAATCAACAGGAGAGGAGTGAGAGCAGGTGAGCGCTAGAGTCTGTTGAAAGTGTTTGAGGACACCTGGTGGACAGCTCCGGCATGGCAGGTTATGGGGAGGAGGAGGAGATTAATTAGGGGCCCTAGGAGAAGGGAGCAGATTTCAGGAGTTTGGATTAAGAGAGTCTGCATTCAGAAAGGTGCTTATAGGTCTAAAAGTATGCTTGTAGTTTGATATCCTTTATTTTCCTTCTTTGCAATGGAAGCCTCAGAGTTACAGTTCAGAAGATTACCAGAAGAGGGCAGCATTAGACAGTCATCTGAAACATACAGCACAATACACCTTAAAGTTTGATCTGTTAACAATTCATAGATGACAGCTTCTCCATCCATCACTGATTCTGTAAATTCCCAGTTTTGTTTCAGTCTGAAGACTTGATATGAGAGAAAAGATGGTCACTAAACAGGATGGCCACTTTGAGTCTAAAGAGCTGAGAAGTCAAATCTGCTGCTGTCGTTTCTCACCGAGGAAGAATCCAGCCACTCTATGGCGAAATTAAACCAGAACATCTGATGATTATCTCTTCATTTTCATAGTTAGTCACTGGTGTACCAATTGTTGTTGAACAGGAATATATTGTCCAACCAGCAAGAGTATCCGCATGTTTTTCATTTGTCATCAGTATGTTATGAGAAGGTTATAAAAAAGGCCTCTAAAAGAGCTGGCCTGCTTACCTAGGGCAAGAATCTGAGTCCTGGGAAACTCCAATGGTGTACTCGGGGTTGGGGAGGGGGAGGGAGTCTTACAAGTGTGCACTTGTGCACTTAAAGGGGGGGTACTTGAAAGTGTTCACTTTTGTGTTTCAAAGTGTGCACTCGTAAGGGAGCACTTAAATGTGTACTTATTCACTTTGAAGTGTGCACTTGTAAGTGAGCACTTAAATGTGTACTTACTCACTTTGAAGTGTGCACATGTAAGGGAGCACTGAAAGGTGTACTTATGAACTAAAAGTGTACACTTGTAAGTGAGCACTTAAATGTGTACTTATTCACTTTGAAGTGTGCACTTGTAAGTGAGCACTTAAATGTGTACTTACTCACTTTGAAGTGTGCACATGTAAGGGAGCACTGAAAGGTGTACTTATGAACTAAAAGTGTACACTTGTAAGTGAGCACTTAAATGTGTACTTATTCACTTTGAAGTGTGCACTTGTAAGTGAGCACTTAAATGTGTACTTACTCACTTTGAAGTGTGCACATGTAAGGGAGCACTTGAATGTGTACTTATTCACTTTGAAGTGTGCACTTCTAAGTGTTCACTTGGAGTTTCAGACTTTCCTTCACTTATTTCACTTATTTGACTGCACACCGTTAACAAGTTCTCTGCTCACTTTGGAGACTGGTGAAGAATTCAGCATCCAACTCGGGATTTAGATTTCATTCTCTCTACTCAAGCGTGATACTTTCCTGTGCCTTTACTATTTATTACAAAACAATTTTTCATCCATCTGCTCTGTCATGATTTCATTTGGTTATTTCCTCCTTGAGTTTTCACTTGACAAGGACGGGTGCACTTGAAGGGGGCGTGCGGGGACGTGACAACAGATGGTATTTCTTTAGCAGCCTTAACATTATAAACTTGTGTAACCGCTAATCAAATAGGCTGCTACAACATCAAATATGTCGTGGCTGGCTGGCCAATTCTGGTCCTGAAGATGGTTGTTTTGACCATTTTCTGGTGGTGTCATGTTGTGCACTCGATGGGCCTGATCTGACAGGTATTCACTCTTGGACTCTATCTATCTATCTATCTATCTATCTATTTATCTATCTATCTATCTATCTATCTATCTATCTATTTATTTATTTATTTATCTATCTATCTGTCTATCTATCTATCTATCTATCTATCTATGTATCTATTTATCTATGTATCTATGTATCTATCTATTTATCTCTATTGATGTTGATGTAAATGCTTCAGGTCCTCTTCCACAGGTATGTAATGTACTTATTGTATACCTGTCTCAGAGAGGAAAGGCCCCCTTCATTATCATATTGTTGCCATGGCATTTCAAACTCAGGCACGACAGCGAGGTGATGAGTGTATGATGTGCTCTAACTCAACAGGAGGACTAACACTGTATGAAACTCAGTGAAGCGTAGAAGAAAAACAAAACGGCTTTTCAGGAGAGCAGGACATTTTTGCCGTTAATAATTGCTCGGGGTTGCGTTTCTTTAAGAAGCTGAGCTGTGTGTCGTTCCCACGAGGACGATTGTGAATGACAAAAGGTAAGACCCGCCATGCAACTTTAAACAGCACATCATCTTCTATGCAGATTACACTAAGCTGCTGTCGCTCCCTGCTCCTCTATAAGTGGACTTTCTCCCCGGGCCCGAGCTCGACAAAACTGCTTCACACTCATTAAATCACTGCCGTTTGATATTCATTAATTTATTCCATCTGCTCTGGCGTGGCCTTTATTGGACACGTTGCACATTTCTGGTCAATTCTAACTTTGCGCCTAAAGATTGATGAGTGCTGTAAAAGCCGATTACACTCTGTCAGTGTTTCTCTCTATTAATCTGCTTTAATGAGAGGTTAGTGGTCCCTGCTGCCTTTGGGTGTTTAATCCTTATTGGGCCAGTTCTTATTGTCAAGTCAAGTGATGTCATTTAAACCCCCAAGAAGCCACACATGTCCACTCACTGTGGCTTTATTATCGTGTGTGTGCTGCACAGAGACGAGTGGGGCAGGTCAGTGAGAGGTGGACCTTTGTCCGGGGTCGGACTGCTGCCCATTATTTATTCATGCCCGTGTATCTGACCGGTCGCCCTAATTGCACCAGGAGGAGCCCAATTACCCTCCACAGTCTCACGTTCACAGTAACAGGAAGCTGTGTCGCATGTGGGCCATGACTCACTGCACACGTCTTATTTACATTAGGACGTCTCAGGTGTGCAGAGAAACGTTTTTGTGACTGTTTGAAGATGGTAAATTCCACAAACAGAGAGGCTGGAATGTAAAAAAAAAAAAAAAAAAGAGAGAGTGTGCTGGACTTTAGTGACTGGTTTTGTTGCTTGGAGGATTCATGGCAGATTAAAGTAAGCTCCTCATGCTCTCTTTTTTTTGTTCCTTCTTTGATGGTTTTGTGTTTGTTTGTTTATTTTTTCTTTCTTCTCTTACAGCAGGCTCAAGAGAAGATGAGAATATGAACACTGCGACAGGAAACATCCTCATTTCAAATCAGGAGGAAGAAGAAGACGAAGAAGAAGAAGAAGAAGAAGAGCACCGCGACAAGGAGATCATTAAGTTTCTACTTCCTCTTTCCAGTCTGTAATCTTCACCTACACAGGTAAGATACATTCCTTCTCCTTATAACACTTTTATCAGAAATGAGAATATTTAAGGGGAACTTTAAGGGGAAATTCTTGTCCTGATTCTAAGAATTTTTCTTAGAATTTATTTACTGGGAGCGACGCTTAATACTGAGGAGGCTTCATGAATACGGCCCTAGGAGTTTGCTTACATTGGTTATTAATTAAAAACAAGAAGCCATCTTGTACTTGTACAGTTTTTGCCGTGGTATCGTAACAGGAAGGTAGAGTAAAAAGATTTCTAGGTTTATATCCCAGCTTAAAAATCTACAGTATGTGAAAACCCAGATATGAGAATTGTGTCATCCTCCTCTGTTGTCTAAATGCAGATTCCATTCCATTTGGGACCCAATAGTCAACAGGTTTCAGGTGTGTTATCTTGGTCAAAGGGAAATGTGATTGTGTGTTTTTTTCCACAATATCATGTTTATTAACTGGTTCACTGGGTATCAAAACCAGCACTCTCCCTGTGTATCATCTGATGTCTTCTTTTGTCTCTTTCTAACTTTCACAACAAGTCCTCGTTCCAGCCTCCAATTTTTTCCGTTGTTGTTCTTTCAATACTTCACTGCACCCTTATCTCCCCCCCCATGCCTTCTTCCCATCAGCCTCCCTCCGTCAGATCA